TTTATCATTCCTGCAACAGCTTGATTTTATGAATCAAGGTTGTGAAAGTGCATGGTATATACGGACAAAAGAGTCCTCAGGAGTTTTTATGCCACCGCAGCATCTGCGATGCATATAGCGATTCACCTGTGTGTGTTTGTATGTATGTATGTATGTACGTATGTATGTATGTATGTGTTCTATAGATTATATAGTGAACTTAAAAAACCTTCTTGTGAAAAACCTCTAGTCCAATTTCAACCAAAATTGGCAGAATTGATCCTCGGTTAAAGGGCTTTCAAAGCTGTTTAAATAATTTTATTCTATGTAGAAATCTGGTTGCTTTGGCAACCAAAAGGAATTATAAGAATAAATTTAAAAATCTTCTTGTAACTACCAACAAGGCCTAGAGCATAGATATTTAGCATAAGGCATTGTGTGGTGACCTCCACCGAGATTGTTCAAATTATAGCCAAGGGGCAAAAATTGGCCCCGCCCCGGGGGTCTTGGTTTTTACTATATGTACATATAGTAAAAACTTAAAATACCTTCTTGTCTGAATGTACAAGGCATAAGCTATAAAGCTTTGATATTTGGTATATGATATCATCTATACGTACTCTATCAAAGTTGTTCAAATTTGGTCTCTAGCGTCAACATTAGCCCCACCCCGGGGTCATAGAATTTCCATTTATGTATATACATGTAGTAAAATCTTAAGAAAATCATCTTCTCAAAATTGACAAAGGCTAGATGTTAGATATTTTGCATGATACATTGTGTAGTAAACCTATAGCAAGATTGTTCAAAGTTAAAATTGGCCCCGCCCCGGGGGTCATTGATTTTCACTATGTACATATAGTTGAAAAAAAATCTTATTGTCTGAAGGTACAGCGTTTAGAGCTTTGATATTTGGTATATGATATCATCTAAAGGTACTCTACCAAAATTGTTCAAATTTTGCCTCTAGTGTCAAAATAAGCCCCGCCCCGGGAGCCATAGGTTTTCCTTATATGTCTATAGTAAAAACTTTAAAAAAATCATCTTCTCTAAATTGACAAATGATAGAGTTTAGATATTTTGCATGAAACATTGTGTAGTGAACCTCAAGCAAGATTATTCAAATTATAGCCCTGGGGTCAAAATTGGCCCCGCCCCGGGGGTCATTGATTTTCAGTCACTATGTACATATAGTGAAAAATTAAAAATCTTATTGTCTGAAGGTACAAGGCTTAGAGCTTTGATGTTTGCTTTATAATACAAATCAGCCATAGGTCCTCTACCATAGCTGTTCAAAGTTTGCCCCTGGTGTCAAAATTGGGATGCCCTGGGGCATTGAGTTTCATTATGTACACATAGTAAAAACTGAAACTAAAACAAAAATTTTCTGAATTGGAGAAAGCTACAACTTAGATATTTGACATGAATGTTGTTTGGTGGGAAATGTTGTTTGGTGGACCTGTATCAAGATTGTTTGAATTAAACCCTTGGGTCAAAATTTTGCCTTGCCCAAGGGGATAGTGACCTTCTATCTTGTCTTTTGATGTACAGCCATGAAATTTGGACTATGTGCACAGTTTAAGTTGTAAAATTGAACTTTGATATCAGGTGACCTAGATTTTTATGATGAGACCTGCATGTACTTTCTTGTCCTTTGATGTGCAGCTATGAAATTTGAACAATGTGCACAGATTAAGATGTCAAGTGAACTTTGATATCAGCTGGCCTAGATTTTGACAAAGTGTTGTCCTTTAATGTACAGTCACGGAATTTTGGCCATGTGAAATATGACCTTCACCACCAAATTCACTAGACTTAACTGCATTGATAGATTCCTACTCTTATCTTTTATTTGAATAATAACCACTAATCTGATAAAAAGAATTAGATAGGTCAGTGATCTATGCACTATGGCAATCTTCAATTGTATAAAACAAAAACAATCTGTTCTTACATCACTATTTAGTGTTGTATTAATGCGGTGGCATAGCATTTTTCACAAATGCAATCTTGTTTTATATTTCTGTCACGGAGCTCGTCGAAAAAAATAAAAAAAACACTCGTCAAAAATGGTAATTTTTATCTTTAAAAGAAAAGTTTGAGCTGCTTAATTAAACTTTAATGATTAATATTGCATTTAATTACACACCCGTGCCGATTTTGCGACTCCGTGATAATGGTTTTGCACGGCCGTGCATATATTTTGACGTGACGTCATTAGCGTTATACAAACATAGATTAAAGACGCACTAAATAATAAGGCTATACTATAGGCGCATAAATAAAAACGACTCTTGTTTTCACTTTGAACGGTCTTTATTTTTTGGGTATTTGATAAATAGAATATTAAATTCGTGCAAATTCATTACTGACTTTTTGGAACTCGTTGAATAAAATAATATTATACGAGCCTTTATAATTTTGTTCAACTCGTGCAATCGTTTCATTATTGACTTTACGCTCATTTAAAATCCTCTATATATATTGTATTATGTGTCAGAAAAAAACTTTTTAGTCCATTTTCCATGACCTCTTGTTTAAAATCAGATTGCTCATCCTGTTCATTTGTGGTCTTCTTCATTGCCATACTTAATTACCTTATTGGAAAGATGCAAACATTTTTACACACTTTCAATAATAAAAAAACGATAAAACGTGCCGTAACTAAACGCAAATAATACACTGACAATAAAAAGAACTTTAGGACATCTTCAGAGTTATCCGAAGAAGAATTCTAGGACATTTAAGAAATCGGACATAAATTTGTTAACCGGTGCTTTATGTTTGCAACCTTCCATCCTTTTTGACGTGGGACTTTGTTCGAAATATTGTTATGAACACTCATCTACCGTTATAGATCTAAACATAATTTTAAAAGTCTGAAATATACATAGTAACAAAATAAGAATTGTAGGTTTATTTTATTGTATTAATGCATTTAAAACCATCCTTTATGCTGTGTTCAATTTAATATATGCTTTATGTGCTACATGACATCGTTCGTTTCACACGGTACTCAATACAAGCAAAATAATATGTTTGTAAACAATATATACCGTTGGTAACCTAAGATACTGATCAGTGAGTCTTAACCTTGAGATTGTGTCATGTTTTCGATTGATCAATACATGTCAAACCCTAATTTAAATCATGATCACGAGAAAGAGTGTGATCAGTCCCGACAATTGTTTACATTTGAATGACTTTTGAGAGCATAATTTTCCCGCTATTTGCCTTTTAATAGTTCAATAACAATAAGTATGTTTAACAGAGGTAGACATGTATGTTGCTGTAGGTGAGTTGTGGTAACTTATTTTGATATTTGTCTCTAAAAAGAGAGTAATCTACAAAGAAGCAATGATTCTGACATATACATGCATGAGGCAGTATTAGTTTAATTTATAAAATATTGCGAAACGACACTAAACTATTCATGTTAATTTTATTTGATAATATAATTATAAGTTGGGTGTTTGAGTTTTGCAATTAAGTCACATTTTCTAACTTCAACAAAATCATAAACCTTTTCAAAGTTAACATTTGGATCAGGATTGAGACTTGTTAACTCAATTGTTCTGTCAAGGCGGCGTTCATTGAACTTTCAATTTGATATTTAAGAAAAATATATATTTTCATAGCAAACACCTTTAGGCATATCACCACGCTCATTTTTTATTATTTGCAGTGTTTTTTATTTATTCAATTTTGTATATCACACTATGTTTTCATTATTGACTGATTGCGTTCTTCAATTATTTTTTTAATATTCGAATCATCGGACAAAAGTGTTTGAAAGTGTGGTAAATATTTTTTAAATATTTTTGGAATTGTAGTGGTACAAAAATTGTAATCTTTCCTTGACACTTTACCTTGCTGAAAATATTTAAAAGGAAGTATTGTTTTGTTTATTAACCTGTCAAATGCAAACTGATAATACGGTCAATGCACACAATATATTAATCTTCGTAAGACTTTCGATACGTTTCGTGAGATGTACGCAATAAGATAGGATTGCGTCTATGAAATAATTAAAATGAGCGTTAAAGCGCGGGAGGGTAAACTACGGGTTTATAATTTTTATGTCCTACGTGTTATGTTATATCCATGAATTTTGATATTTATATATTCAACATCATAATCCAATAGCATTAATTACAGGTTTTAAATTTCTACATGTTCTACCTGTTTAAAGATCAAGATCGAGATGATCTATAATTTTTTTTTATATATTTACATTTTCAACATTATCGAAGCTGTGTTTTCATGTTGTTCGTTTGTTAACTATGTTTTGCACTTATTTTGGTAAACTGTATTTGAAAGACATTGTTTAAGAACTTATATTTAAAAAAATTTCGGATAAAGATCAATAAGTGACATTTTAATGCCGTAAAACACAATACAAATCGAGGCAAAAGGGTGTTTCTGAGTTTTCCTTATCCGTGTTGGCAATTTTATAAACACTCGACATTCTGCAAAAATAAACTAGGAAGAGTTATTTAAAATCAATGGGAATGCAAGGGACAAAACTACATACCTCTCATATATACGTAAGTCAAACACCTAACCGATTGAGCTATTGCGGATGTGATGACGACAAACTTTACATAAAGTTAATGTGACTTTTCAAAATATTAGTAATATACTCCATATTAATTCTCGTTAACTACATTGACAGAACCGAGGTAGGATCGAATATTAAAACGCGTGCTTTAATGTATTCAAAATTTACAAGTAAATAAAATCAGACTATACACGTAATATTATTTTGCAATTCCTAATAAAATTTGAGCATATATATTTGATTTCGTCAATGTTGAACGCCTGTTGTAAAGAACGCAAATTGATTTAAAATTCCATTTATTTAATATTAAATTTGTTCGATATTTCACCCGGTCCATACACTGTACAATATCATTTTTACAATATCATTTATATGCTTCGTAATCAAGTATGCTCATAATTTGTACGTTCTACTTTTTCTTCAAATGTACACTTTATAATGCAATTCCGTTTAAATTCAGGTCCAGATGTTGTCATACAAAGAGCAGACACTCTGGCCTATGAAACACCATCAGAATGTGGCAGAAACCTAACATTAACGTGCATTTCAAAGAAGGATACATTTGCAATTGTATGGAAGAATGGAAATGATAATATAAAAATTGCTGAATGCGTACAAAATGTTTGCAGCATTAATCCGGACTTTGAAAGACAATACAATATTTCATTTGATAGTGCACGGTGTATTTTCAATTTGACAATAATGAAAGTGGCTATGAAAGATAACGGAAGAAATTTGGTTTGTTCAGACGGATCTCATAGTGACTCGTACAATATAACAGTCAAAGGTAAGCATAAATTTTTGATATTTAAACCGTCTTTTTTGCGCAAATGTTCCATAATGCATGTGCACACTGCTGTAACAATTTAAGGACCACATTTTAAATAGATATTGATACTTGGTTGTTGCTCGCCAAAGTGCGATAACGGCCTAAAGATGCCTGTTATGACCTGGGGCAGCCTTTGTCGGATCTGCAATAAAATACGGCGTAAAACATCGTCCTTTCTAACACAGTAACAGTTGAAATTGTAAACAAATATATATCGTTCTGTATAGAAACCATGATAACACATATTAAAGAATAGAAATTGTTGTTTAATTATTGTTTATGTTCTTTATTTGTTAGGGTTATATTAGTTGTAGTTTCATTTGTGAAATTGTGCGCTTGATCTGATAAATAATAGACCATTATTCCTGTACTGTTGATGGTTATTGTGCCTCATTTAGTTCACATTGTCATGCATATTAATCTGGAGATGAAGCCCATTCTTTGGCGGCTTAGGCATATACACTTTATCCACGAACAAGTCACGTGACTGTAGTGGGTAAACACACACACGGCTGCTGTAGTTAATACTACAATTTCATATGAAAAAGAATAAACAATTTGACCACATTAATAACTGATAAGCCCAAGTATCACATAACATTACAAAGCTTTCTCTAAGTTGTACTTATCATTTAATAATTTTCATTACGTAAATAAATAATATAAATATAATTCAAACTATCGTTTTGTCTTTAGTCTTTAGATATCAAGTATTAATAACCACAAGAATTCTGTTTTTTTTTAATTATGGATATAAAGTACATTATAACTTAAAGTAAAAATGGAATCACTATAAATAACCTTCTAGCTTCATTTATCATATTTTTAAGAAATAACATCTTATGGGGAGATACCCTTACCAAAATAAAAAAGAGAAGAAAATTGATCCATGTTTTAAACATTTAGGTAGGGGATGATAAATCCAAAGACCAAATATTTATTGATGAATTAATCTAGGTTTCAATTTCAGATTCAGTCTTGATTAAGTATGGAGGCTATTGGTTGCCAAAATCCAGTCTTGTTGATCTGAGTTGAACAGTTTGTTTACGGACAAAATACTATTGTATTTCTTTGTATGTAAACTCCAATGTTACATTCTTGGATTGAGTTTGCTAACTTTACATTGTAAACATGTATTTCAACAAAATACATTTTGTTAAACAGCAGTCCCAAGTGTTCATCATAACATGCGGAATACTCATTGCTGATGTATACGTCGACAAAAGAGAAGTTACTTTCTTAGCTTTAGATTGTCAAACATCATTATTCGTATCAGCATAATCCAGCTGTACACGTTTTGCATTAGGAGAAAAAATAAGCTCCGCCCATTTTCCCGCCCACTACATCATCGTAAATAAACGTATGTATCCGCTCATTTCCGGTATTTACCGTCAGCGACTGGTCAGCAAGGAAACAAGAACACGCACCGGCGTAGTAACTGTTTACAACACCTTTTAGATGTTTAGTTATTCACCAAACATAATTCACTTGCATGGTTGCCAGTCTATGCCTTTATTCAATCAACATCAGCGAACTTTTTTAAATGATTATATAAAAAAATAACTCGCGAGGTTACTTACTGTCTCAATCTTACTTTAAATGGGGTTGTTTGAGGTTAAATATTTTTTCAAGGGACAAGGGAGTAAAAATTATTGATAAGACTACATGTATATTCAACATGTTTTTATTAAACACAATAAATTTTACTGAGGTGATTCCAATTTGCATAGGAAAGAGTAATAGTGACAGTTAAGCTGCTATCTTACCACTTTCAAACTTTCAAATCAAAATCTAAGAGAGATTTTGATACGATCAAAAACTAATACAGACCTAATTCTGGCTGTTGTCTTTCCTAGTAGTAGCACTTACTATTACATTTATTTTAGTAATCTTAATTCTAGCGTATGACTTGAAAAGAAAAATCTTTTAACAATAGTAAAATTAAAACCAAAGTTGTGTGTACCCTTTCGTACATAGCTTTTAATTTTTACCAAACTGTATAGATAAGTTTTCCCATTTTAACTATTTTTTTCAATAATAATATTCAAATGAGGTCAAAGGTATGTATATGTTGATTATCAATTTATGCATACTTTGTTTATTTTATCTCTAAGAAAGGCATCACTTACAAAACTTAATAAAAAGTCTATTTCTAATCAGAAAGACAGCAAGTCTCAGTAACAGCTATTGACAGCATATATACACAGATTTTAGAGCTGTCACCGATAAAGTTAAATGCATAAAAAGGGGTTCGCTGAAGACCTTAACCTATGTCAGCTTACATATATCTAATAATAAAAGCTAGGCCTAAAAATATCTCCCAATGGGAAATAGATATGCTAGGATACACTAAATATTTTTTTCAACATCAAAATGGGACAAATTCACAAGTTTTTGGTTATACAACGGAATTATCGATAGTAAACTTTGAATAGTTCGCTGGTTATACACTCGGTCGAAAATTTGGGGTTTTTCTACAACCCAATTTCGTCCTTTAACGAAAGAGGACACAGACTTGCTCGTCAGTTATCTTTACGTATTTTGCCAAAAGTGAAATCCATGAATCGAATTCTAATACTAATTACTGAATGTAAAACAAATGTTTACGAATACTTCATCAGTACCTGATGGCACACAAACCCTGTCGGTAGATGTGGTTTGTGTCCTCATATATGGGAAACACTCCCTTATTTTATTTCAACAACTTTAGTTTTTACATATTTTTATGCTCATCATCAGTATAAACGTTGTTATATTATGATATTATATCTTATTCAATTTTGCATTACTTGAATATCCTGTGCTAAAATACAATTTTACAAAATCAGAGGATATTCAAAGTAAACCGAAATGCAGTTGATGTATGTGACATTTTAATTTAAAATAGTTGTGTACTCATTATTATTGTACAGTAAGAGTTGTATCTCTTTATATTCTGCTCTCGTGAAAATTGGCTCCGCCTACTAATTTTCGTCTATTTCCGTGATAATGCCATGTATGGAAGTTGCAAAATTGTTTACAAATGTTAATCGCGTTAGAATATAAACGGAAAATGTGGTGTTGTCAACCCGAGAGTGTTAACTGATGCAGATATATTCTCAACATCATGATGTACGGAATAAAACGTGTTGTGTACGTTCTATCGTTTACATTTCTGCATGTCGCACATTTGAAGTTTAACATTTCTAAATACAGGATGCAATTTATCTAAGTTGCATTTTAACAGCACCCATTTTATCAAATCGAGACAAGCAAAACGCTTTAAACCAGTGCATTGTGTAATTTTCGGATCGACAATTACATTTTAACTTATCTGTTTAGTAGAACCGTAGTATGCATAGGCTGGATTTTTTTGCAACGAATAGCCTCCATAAGTAAGAGGTAAGAAATGTTTTTGTTACAACAGAATGAGTATACTGTAGTTGACTTACGTCTTAGAATGCACATCATCAATTCCTTAGATGATGCCATGTAAGTCTCATTACTATTATGTAGGAGCAGTAGTCCAGTGGTAGGACGCGCGCTTAGGGATCGAGAGGTCCCGGGTTCGAACCCCACCAGGGGCACTGCTAATTTCCTTGTGCAAGAAATTTACCTGCGATTGCTTCACTTCACCCAGGTGTAAATGGGTACCTGCGAGGGTGGTATAACTTCGTTGCGCCAAATTGTCGGCTGCACTAAGCGGAGTTAAAAGACTCCCCAGGGAGATTGATAGATAGATACCAGTAGCCCGATGACCAGGGGTAATAGCTGTAAAGTCGGTGAACGTGCGTAAGCATAAAACTTAGACTATAAAATGCAATTACTTTACTTTACTATTATGATGACACATTATTCGGAGAATTCCTCTTAAATAAAGTTGTCCAGTAAAACATTAAAATGCAATTGGTCAAAAAAATGACTTCTTTTAATAAGATAAGCCAGTTTTTTTATTACTAACTTGAGGTCACATGATTGCCATCGTCGATACAGTGTATATATTGTTTTTAATAATAAGAACGGCTGTCTTTATGTCTGCAGATGTTACGACATCTAACGTCATCTCAGGAGATTCTATAAGTCATTTTTGACTTAGGTACAGTCAATGATTTTTTCCGAGTTTATAAACCTACAGTCTTGAACTTTGTTAATGTCGCTTGATTGTGTCATCTACATTAAAACAGTTCATTCAGCGGCAGCACCCAATTGTCATGACTGAGTGTTGTTTACGTCATTTTGCACTTGCGACCATGCACTCGCCCAATATGAAAGAAATATGTCGTGTAACAAAGTGGCAAAATTCAATTGACCTAGATCTTTCTATAATAGTTATGAAATACGCTAAAGTTTGTAAGTATGTATATAAGCATGGATATTAATGTAAGATAATGCCCGTCCACTGGTACAGTAAACATGGACTACCTTTGTAAAAAGAACATTAAAGCAATGGACTAGCTAGCGCCTTCTCCCAACAGTATTCCTATAGAACATGCGTGGGACTACATTTAATGACGTTTTTTTCAGAGCAGGTTGTGTATGTTTCAATTGAAACTGGGAGAAAGTACGGTCGGGTCATACACTTTACTAACAAACACTATTTGTTGTTATTCAATGCTCTATGGAAATGTTCATTTCATTCTATTTGCGTATTCAGTTGTTAAGGAAGTTAATGTTTTCGGTTGTTTTGAAATTTTCACTGTGATTTACTTTCAGGATCTTTTTCCTGATGTTGCTTAGTTGAATAAATATAGTATATAATACTTCAATTACCCATTTGGATTTGTTATTTAATAAGGACACTTGAAATTCAAATAGGTACATCTTTCTTTAAATTTTGAGCAGTGAATTATAGACAGTTCGAATAATTTTTCGTGATTAATGTTCCTTTGCATGTAGATCAAGATCGAAAACTTGTGTGCTAAATTTCAGATCATTTGCTCGCTCTGTTTTTCAAGAATAATTATTCCATTGGTGAAAACTTACCAAATATTGAAAAGCGTTGCAACGCATTTCGCTTACATTAGGCTATAACTAGCATAAAAAAGTGAGTTTCAATTTATTTCTGAATATATTGCTTTACTATATTTTGCATATATTTCTGTTTTAAGTGCCCTTGCTTATCTATATTAGAAATTCGAATTTTATGTTTAAGGACCTCAGTGAATTCCTTTTACCTAATGAAATTTATTTTTCTTGAGGAAAAAACATACATAATGTGAAAGCTCTCCCGAAAGCCTTTAATCACTTTTCCCGTTTGTTACAAATAAGGACTGATTTCCATAATTGAATGATTTTTATAATGTCATTTCGACCGTTGCAACAGTGTGAAACAAACACGTCCCATTGGTGAGACATCATTTAAACTTGGCTGATATAGAATATTTTAGCAATGTTAACTATAGTAGAAAAGCTGGCAGTAACATTGATACTTGATCGATTGCCTAAAATTTAGTTACAGGTTATTAAATATTTCACGCATATTAATCACATTATATATAAAAAGCAACAACAACAAACAAAAACTGTTAAAATATGGCATTTGTTACAGATAACGAGCCTCACCTAGTTGAAAACACAACATCTGGGACCATTCTAGCAACGTCTGGCTGCATTTCACAGGACACGAACGTTTCTTTTAAATGGATTCTGATCTCCGTATGTTCTTTGATATTAATATATATTTTTCTAACGGTACGTTTTTATAAGAAGTTATATATCATATACTTGTATAGATTTAAATCCAATAATCAAAATGGTGATTATAATCTATAGTGAGTTCATCAAATCGTTATTAAATTGCAAGAAAGAAACAAATAGAATTTAATGTAAACAGAAACATCCTGATATTCATGCAATCAGGCAGATCCTTTCGCATCAACTTGAAGCAAAAGAACCAAATGATACAGTTATATGCTACAAAATTACGACCAAATTAAGTAAAGAGTCTTGAGACTGTTCGAAACGTTAATCTCATGAATATCGTCGTCATCTTAGTACAGTAACGGTTAATTCCAATTGAAATACTTTAGAAGTTAACATGTTACATGTACTTCACTAAGGTGACAATGTCATAATTGAAAATTGTAAAGCTCCTCCTTAAAAAGCAAAACAGAAAGCACTGGTTTTAAAGTATGATATTGATTTTAATGTGTATCTTAAGTTTTTTATGTGTATTTGTAGGAAAGTAGTAATATTGAAACAGAATTTAACCCAGAAATCAGTAACAAATATGCAACAAATTGTAAAAATAATTCTGATTGTGGAAATAACAAGCACGTATACTATACAGAGATAATTTTGGCCAATGGTAGTATCACTGGAAAATACTATCTGAAAGTTGCAGCGATATACGGGAATGAAAGCAAAGATTCATACTATTCATACAAGTCTGTTATGAAATACATGATTGGAGAGCAAGGTAGTGTTTTCTTTTGTTTCTCATTCATTGTAGCTAAAGTTTTTGGACGTTTTCTTTAAGAATGTATATTGTAAAATGCACATGGTATTTAATTTGATTTCTTTCACATTTATATAGAAATAGATTTAATATGACGTAACCACACCAATCAGTCTTTATTGATGAAATTATCATTTTGTCAATTAAGTTTGAAGTGAAGTGTCAGAGCCGTTGTCACAATTTTATGGAACGAATATTGGAACCATTCATGCATATATTTTTGCGCTTTTTTCCGGCATTGGTGAGCAGTTAATTTTTTTAACGGTAATAAATACAATAAATGGGAAAATTTCCTTCAAGTTATTTTTGTACATGTTTCAGTCTCCTTTTAATATATTAAAATTAATGATGATAAAACCAAAGATTTTATTAGTTCTATCCGGTGCATAGTATTTCAAATAATAAGATTGAAGGCGACATATCTATAGAATTATCTAAGTATTAAACCTGTCAACGCCCTTGTAGATAAGAAAAGTTTAGGATAGTTTACTGAATAAGGAAATGATGAATTAGAGTGAATGGGCATCACATATTCTAAATGATATTTTTGCATGGTAAATAAACACAAGTTTCAAGTATTAACACTAAATACGTGGGACCAAATTCATATGGTCCATCGGAAATGGCATCGGCTTAAAAGATATATTGATTTCCAATAAAAAAAATATGTTGGTTTAAATCCTTTATGACGACGATATTACAATGTAAAAAAGTCATTTTGTTACATATGTACTATAATTGAACCCATATAAAGTTCCTTCATAGTAACCAATTTATGTCACTTGGTGTAGTCTTTTTATAGAAATGTTTTTGTGGCCGTAACTTTCGGTGTGTGTAACATTCAACGTGAGGATAATGAAAATGACCGAAGATAAGCTCAACACACTTTAAAAATAGACGATCTTGATTTATGGTGATGAAAAGCATACACACACGAACTCTTGTTTGGGCAATTATTTGTAAATCAGCAAAATCTGATAGGAATAATGATCAAAGTGTATCTGAAGTTCCACATCCACCATAAGATATATTGAACTGGATGAACTATAAGCAGTAAAAACACTACATTTATAACAATGTCTTATAAAAGTAAAACCTATACCTGTCCAGTAAGATTGAAATATCAATATTCCCAGTGTAATACCGTCATAAGTGTATGGGTTTTTTATATTTGATATAGACCCGAAAACACGGGACTATATTGGGACGAGTATACATATAGAGAAACCAGTTATGGATGACGATGCACGCGAGAAAGGCAATGCAGGGTCTCCCATCCGGAAAGAAAGAGGGAGATTACGGGCACCTTCCCCTTAAAAACTGAAAATGTTTGTGCAAAATGATGGATTCTGGGACTTTCGTATTGTGTTCAGTTACTCAAATATTTTTTTATGATAAACTGAAAATATTTGCAATTTAACGTTAGAATAACATCACGAGTCGGTGTTGCTCTTACATCCCAGAATGTTTTCCCATTTTATCAGTATTAGGTGATTTTGAAAATACAGGTCTGGGACGACCAGGAATGAAAGAAAATGCTTCATGTTGAGTATTTAAAATTCGTTCATAGAATATGCGAGTTTCTTTCTATAGAAGTCTTTTAGCTAATTAGATGATAAGTTGTATTATATTTGCGAGCGATCGAGACGAAACAATGTAATCACACATATCAATTTTTCATTTATTGAACATGACCATTGTAGTATGTTATATCAGATTTTATCAGGTTTATATCAAATATTTCTGACATAACTAAGGGTTTTATTGAATAACAACACAAGGGATGAATTCAATTATAGCTCATATTCATACAAAAATCAAAACTGTAAAACTTACCGTTCAATTTCTTGAAATGGGTCATCATACGAAGTTTTAACCAACGTACATTTTACCGCCATCCAATTTATCTTTCTAACCGATACACATTTTGTAATTCATATCAAGTTGGTTCACATGATAAAATGTAAATGATAAAATAACAAGAAGAATACGTTTCAGTATTAACTTAGATATTGAAGAAAAGAAAAGGTCCATATTAACATTCGTCATGCCAGTTAAGCTGGAAAAAGACATACAATATAGTTCTAGAATAAAATTAACATTCATAACCGCATTTGCAATGATAGCACCTTCAGGCTTCCATGCATTTCGAATGTCTTGCGATCAAGCTCAAGAACAAATTTTGAACATCGCTATGTCTATTTTAATACGTGTTTCTTTGCGAATTCGACAACATAAAATAAATGAGTTATACCACGGATACATATTTCTGAGAAGTTGTCTCAACGTAAGTTCCTGTAAAAATACATCAAAAGTAAATTATCCAATGTTCGATAGACATGTTAATCAGAGGACTTAAACGCCCGTTTTCTTTTTAATGTTTTCCTCGCATACATTATTATGGCGTCTTGCACATGACATACACTCAACGAATCATAGGCTATGACACACCCATTTGTGTGTCTAATCACTATAGCCAATAGTGTAAAAGGATTGTTATCATATCAAACGTACATTGAGAAGTGTTCCGGGTTTCAAATGGCATTGCTATGGGATTTCAGAAATTGAACTATGTTCCATAATAAAGCAGAGTGCAAAATAAATAATATTTTGGATAATGAGTACTATCTAAAAAAGCAACGACTTAGACTCGTTGTACCATCTCTCGAACAATAATTTCGTTTAACTGTTATTGTTTTCGGACTTTGAATTTCTTTAAACTTATTAAAGTTCATGACTGTACAAGCATGTATTGTGTCCGTTTTTACATACTTAAAAATTTGCCGACATGTCCTTCGGCTGTCGTGAACTCATTTGGATGTTTGATAAGAACAAGAAAGCTGACCACACGCTACCGATTATCGAACCAATTCATTCACAGTGAGTGTACGAATAACATGAAAAAATAGGAGAACATTTATATTGACATTTGAAGCATTAATTACGTTTTCTACTGTTACTTAAAAGAAAAGCAAACACAGTTTTCATTTATTTTCATGTAATGTCACAGTACTGGAGTTTTTATTTGACTTTTTAAGTACAGCAGCTTCGCAAATCACAAGTAGCAATACATTGTCAACCAAAATTTGATTAGCCCTTTTAAACCTTGTTGAAAATCAATCACATTAAGGGAAATGTGGAAGAAATATATGCAGTGGTGTTCAACTTGATATAGAAATTGTATTCGATTAAATATTTAATTGAACAAAATGATAAATCAAGAAACGAGGTCAACGTTGGCTGTCAAAAATATACTAAAATAACGTCGATATTTTCTTGAAACAAAGATTCATAATGTAATTATTGTACCGATTTGTTCCACAAATCGACATAAGTAAAGTGGTAAATTTCCAAGAATGCACAATTTCAAAAATGTTATAAGACATTGTCTTAAAATTGAACGTTCGTCTGCTATTTAAATGGTAATAAAGGGTGTAAGTTTAAAGCTTTGCCAAAACAAAACAAAGTAAATGATTGACATTTTATTAAACTTTCTATTGTTACACAACATAAATTTAATGTGTAAAATATAAAATTTATCACTTTTGTCGATGGTGTCATTCGAGAGAGTGTATCAAAAGGCTAATTGACTGTTATATATATACGTATATTGCAGTTCTAAAACTTTGTTTACATCCATATCGTGAAATGATGTTGCAAGAAAACTTTTCTTCGTCATTTAATTTTTTTAATTTATGATTTCAAACTTTAAAAAAGACTTGCGAGTTACTTTATTTAGTAAAAGATATTACATTCATATTTGAACTCCATGCTATTAGTATGTATTTAAAGATCTATTCTAGTCTAAGAAACCGTTTAGTCTAGTACACTGTTGTCTTTTGTTAACATTTTATTTTGAATACGTACAATCTTGTGCATAATGCATAACAAGATTCATTCTTTCCCCAACTATTTCGAGAATCGATTATATGATTGTGGAAATCACATAAAGTAGCCTATTAAAACTTTTTTGAGAAAAAAATCACTGGAAAAAAACGTCTTTTGATCCACTCTTTAATACATACAAAGGCCTTTTAGTATCTAGATAAATAAACGATTTTTCATTCGATAATGCCGGTTGACAAGCCATGTTAAATGTTATTGACTTTCAGATTTTGAATCAGATAAAGCTATAATTGACTTGTAATATCTTAACAATTCAATATTTTTTTCAAATCATAATTACAAAAGACGACTTAACGTTTCTCTTTGCAGATGAAGAACATTTAAACCCTGTAAGCAAAAATATTGGGACATTTAATGTGGTGATGATGGCGATGCTGTTTATTTTTATAATGATTATACTATGTGCAATGGTCCTTTACAAATTACACGCACGTAAGTGAGATTTGTGATTTTCAGCAGTTACTTTTTTTAATCAGTTCGAAATAAAACACTATCAAAAATAAGTAAATACTTTTTTTATAAATAATAATTGAGCAGTTAACATCCTTACAAATTGGCAATATTTAAATTTTGATTCTTTAACATTAAAAATCTGTTTATGCTTTTAAAAGTTTTAATGCAATAACTCTCAATGAATTTTAACGGATATTTTTTGTTGAGGTTTGCCTACTATTAATATACAATGTGTATTTAAACTGAATTGTCTAGTTTTTAGGAGATTTTAAATGTTTTGTTAGTGATCTTTATGTTAATTAACCTAAAGGTGAAAATCATTGTTTTCACTGTCTTAGTATTATTATTATTATTATGTCTTCACAACATCGCATTCATTATTAATCTCTAAATGTCCTTTTTTATCTTAAACTTTTATTTTTGGAACAGAAAAATATCGCCCGAAAGGGAAGATAATGGAGATAACATAATAATTCGACGACTCGATGATTCACCAGGTGGTTTTACAAGCTCGGGTTTTAACTATGGATTCATTTTCTTATCATACTATTTTCCCTTTTGATTTTATCTGATGTAAACAAATTATAGTTAGATCATCACTGATTAGAAAACAATAATTCGATTTCAGTTAATATTATGTATAAGAAAGGATGAAAGCATAATTAGTCGGGATGATTTATAGAAGCATGAAGTATATATCATATAACTGCATATGCTGAAACAACGTGCACTATGTGATACAAATATGTGAAGTAAAAAAGAATACATGTACTTCGTATACATAATCATTTTTCAAGGTTTTTCTATGCAATTAAAATATTTTTCTCTAATTTTAAGGTTTAATGATTTAAAAAAAAAAAATTATTGGATGATCAACCTTATTTGAAATTTGAAGTTTTATTTATTGGAAACTTATCAACTTGTGTATATGTCCGGTATAAACTTTTAGAGTTGCGTAAGAAATCACTTCATAAACAGGAAACTAAGGAAGCGCAGAGTGGACTTCTGATTTTTTTCTTTCTATCTTGTAGCCACGAGATATAGACTAGAAAAAACGTGCATTTAAATCAAATAAAAAAAAAGTGCAATCTCGTGACCACGAGTAATCCGACCTATTAGAGGAACATCATGGTAACGAGTTCGCTGAACAATAAAATCGAAGATAAGTCCGAAAGCGTTACCTCCCTTCTAATTGTGGGATTTGTTTTATTTTAAGCTTGACTGCTCCTCTGATATCATTAATGTAATTTAAATGAATCTTGTCAGGAATTGATCGATAGCTCATGTGCTTGAACACATTTTTGTCTGAGTTATGGCCCTTAAGTAAAAGATGTTTTTTTTTTACAATTGATGATTTTTGTGTTGCTAACTACACAGATGCTGACACATGCAACAAATAGCCACAACTAATAGGGATCTCATTTTGGTGGTCTGTCTGTCCGTCCGTTCGTTTTCATAAAATTTGTCCTAAGAAACTACTTGTGCAATTTCATCAAAACTTTACAGGAACGATCAAAAGCAAGTCTAGTTTTGCTAACCAACAGCATTTTCCAGTTAAATGATTATTTACCGGATTCGAAAGTGTTTCAATAAGCTAATAGCTTCCAACACAATCGGACTAAAATAAATTTTCATAAACTAAAACTAAGCATTTTTGTCAGAGTATAATGATTTTTTTTAAGTTTTTTTTCTTTCGGGCTACTTCTCGTATACTACTTATGCAAATTAAAATATCTTTTACTATATTTTTCTGTACTTCAAGTACTTGCAAATGATTTTGGCAGATTTATGTCTCTTGTAATATGCCATTGGCTATCATCAGGCGACACATGTGATCACTGATCACTCTTTTTAGATACCTAATGACATAATACCAAGAAAGAGTCAAAATAAAAGTACATGGTTGGATTCTTTTAAAAATCTACCGGATTAAAAATAACTTACTGGTAGTTCTGATTCACATTAAACATCGGCAAAGTGTTGGTAAATTGTACAAGTACATGTATATATTAGAAATGTATATTATTCTTTGCATCTTGTGTGTGTGTGTGTGTGTGTGTGTGTGTGTGTGTGCGTGTGCGTGTGCGTATGTTTGCGCGTGCGCGTGCGCGTGCGTGTGCGTGTGCGTGTGCGTGTGTGTGTGTTTTGTTGTTGTTGTTTTTTTGTTTGTTTTCTTTTTGTTGTTGTTTTGTATACGCTTATCGACGTTATTACAACTGTGATATGAATAGAATTACTGGAAATATTATAACTCAATATGTGTTTATATCTTATATGCTTTGGTATACAGCCCATATATATTTATGGAATAAACTCTTTACAAACCTGTATTAAGTTTGAAGTTTATGACACGTATCGTGTTTTATTAATGCTCAAAACCTGAACCATAAACCATTTAAAATCCTTCCTCAACGTGTTGCCCCTCTGTAAACCTTTTCAATATCCCACAGTTACTGTAGTCGAATCACATGTAAACATTTTTGAAAGGACATAGCTGTGCCCGAAACACGTCCTTGGCCGGGATTACGGATTACACCATGTCCATGTTTCAATATCTAATAATAATAAAATTGGAAAGAAATAATGCTCCCAGAGAATACATTTAACTACGCTATGGTAATTAAAATAGATAAAGGTTATTATTTTTTATGGCTTACGGGAATGCATTTATCGGATAATCTTTATTGAAAAGTGTTCACTATTTTAAACATCGGCGATACAAAACAACTCTCTTCAAATTGTGTAAAGTTTAGCGTGTGTGCTTTGAAATAAATACCTTTAAGTAAGATTATATTCAACGTATATTTCAACCAATATGAATTAATTTTATTTCCATTTGAATTTATTTGAAACCCAACGCGAATGAATCCGATGGCAACAGCGCATTGTTTAAAGGTGGTGTAATCTATCAAATTCTAGAATAATTAAGTCATTTGTCCGACGTAATTCTTAATCGAACTATTCTGTTTCAGAATCAACACACTTATCATGTATGTTATGTAAATACTTTACAAAAATATCAGAAAGGTTTACTTTACTCGCCGACTCTGTCTCCATAATGGTAAGTCATCAGTAACACGTGATCAGCCACTTGACACATCCTTAAAGTAGAACATAACAAACATGAATGCCGAAGTCAGCAGTTCATCAAGCACAGTAGGTTAATTTTATAATTTAACTTTTGTTTTTCCTTTAAGAGAATAATCTGACCTGTAGTTTAAACGCAAAAGAAGCGACTTTTCCCTCAATGCCATTTTTGTTTACAAGCTGTGCGAGAGTGAAATCTGTTAATTAACAAATAAAGGATGAAACTTAGTGATACAATCAGGGTTTTTTTCCGACAATAACTTTGCGACTTAAAACATTCTGAATTTTGGAATAGTTTTGTTATTCGTTTGAAGACAATCTTAATCACATACAAAACTTTTTTTTCTTATGTTAGACGAATTTGAAATGTTACAGAATCTAAGGTGCTGGTATGATAAAGACATAATTATGTTGATCAAAACAGGCACAACACTTTTTATGAAAATAATTAAGACTTAAGTAATAAAACAGATCAACTGAATGACAAATTTTTACTTTGTTAAAAATATAGCACAAATATTCACAATTTTCGCATAAGATTATCTTGTTGTTTTGAAGGATTCTACGACACTGAGAGCGATGCCTTATTTTCTCTAAACTTCAAGACATAATGAACACGATATTTTTCCTTCCACTTTATAGTCCTATTAAACCAGTAAGCCATTATGGCCCTTCAGACCTTTGATTTTTATTTTTTTATTATTTTTGGTCACTGTACCTTTATTTGTTGTCAAACATTTTAAGACATTACCTTGTGAAATTGTATAGTAATGCTTCAGACAAAAAAGGTTGAACTGAAAAAAACGGACGGACACTGTAATGATGCACTTAACTACATTTTTGGTGGGGGATAATAGCAACTGATTTTTGTTTTGCTGCTTCATCACACGCAATGCTAATTTACAAAACAAATATAATACAGCACTCCATTATCGTTGAGAGAAATATTGTTCATATAACAGAAATCTGATATCCTATGAATAATTTGAATCTTAAAGTAGACTAAGAACGCTTGAATACACTGTAAAATGAAACTTTTTATAATTATAACAACAACTTCACCGAAAGCTGTGTTCATATCAGTTCATTCAATGAATATAAAGAATAAATATTTTGGATTGAAGAGTTTTAAAATATATAATCATTATTTATGTGCATCTGTTGGCCGATAAGCAGAAAAACTGTGTACTAGTATGGGGAGATCAATAAAACCAACTACAGTATATGAAGTTGAAAATGGGCAAAATTTATTATGCCATTAAAACAAATATCTATTAAGCAAAAGATATCCCCATATCTGGTTGAAAAAATTCCGCAATTACAATAACATTCTGAAATACGAAATAAAAGACACATAGGAAGCAATAAAAAAAATCAAAATAATTGCCAAACAGAAACATGTGTTACAATTAATTAACGAAGAGGTGGAAGGGAGGTGGTGGATGAAAAATTAGTCAAAAAGCAGGAATGTGTCGAGCGATATGAAACACACAAGAACGTTCTGAAAAATTTCTTCACGTTTAAGCAGAATACTTTCTGACTGGCTATTGAACTAAATAATTAATTAACAGAAAAGCAAAGTGGTGTATAATTACCGAACTGATGACTTGTGTTTAATTTCTTTTTTTTCGGGTGGGGGGGGGGGTTACGACACATCGACACAGTATAGGTCATATCGCGACGTTCCAGCTTTACTGGTGGCGGGATTCCTCAGATGCACTTCCGTGCATTATTTCAAGCACGAACGAGCACCTGAGTAGAAAACTCAAGGTTAGGGTTATCAAACAAAATCAAATTTATACTATTTCAACTTGGAGTTTTTAAGCGTTATTTATATGTATGAATGGTGAATGATTGATATAACTGCCATTTTCCTTACCAGTTCCAAAATTCTTCAAGATGACCTGAAAAATGTTGAATTTTGGGAAATAGAGTGTTGTGTAGCACTCTCATTTTCTGAAAGACATTTGACCTAGTATCTCTCAAAATTCTACATTTTCAATTTTCAACTTCATAAGCCGGTGCTAGGAAGCGTGGACGGTAGCTTGCACTTTCCAGTTCAGTTCATGAACAGGCTAATTTAAAATCAAACATAGCACGCAATATTTTCGATTGTGCATTTTAGGAAGTTGTCTAGGGATTCTATTTTCACATTTTTTCTCCACATGAGTGTGGAGACCGTAAAAGGTTTTCTCATACATGCAATCAGAAAGGTTATATTTCTCGTGCTTCAACACGACGTTTTTGTGTTGGTGATACTTTAAATGTTTTCCTTTTTACACTTTGCATGGTTCAATTATTTCTTAATAATAATAACCTTTAGGTTATATCTCCATTTGAAATGCAGACTTAATAACTTCTGATCCACTTTCAAAATTCTATTTTTTAAGTTCCACCCTTTTTGTTCTCGCTTAGGACATGAACATTCTTATTCTTTGGGAATATGCCATTTTCATTGAATGACACTTACGTATCACATTAACGTTTCCATGATCATTGTCATATGAAGAGACTCAGTCAAACCGAGCCTGCAACATTTATCAATTTTGTAATTGTATAATTTCTTTAGGAATTGTGTCTCCCTCTGTTTAAATTTATCTTCCACTTGTGGCGTACGCATCATTCTCAATACGCTAGCAGTATTTTATTTAGAAAATATAAAAATTGTTTATTCGCATACATAATCCTTTCTAATGCCATACCTGCTAAGTTCTAAAACATCTGGTTTAGAGTCAACTTTTAATTAATAAATCGAATATTAAAGATGTGATGATTCTATTTCTCTACCACTAATCCTTTTTACTGAGACTGAAAAGTTCATGAAAATGTTAAACATTAATGCACCATATTTTTCAAGTCTTTCTTGAAATAAGTTTTCTTCTAAAATACAACACTACACCCACCTTCAGCTCGGAGTACTTTTTTTAAAATTATGGGTCTTCCCATATAGATTGCCTATGCCCCGCAGTTGGGTCAATCTTGACACCAGGGGCATGATTAAAGAGGACTTAAAGGTGATGGTATATTCATAATTTCTTAGCTCTAGGCTTTGTAAGCTTTTAGGAAGAATTGTTTAAAAGATTTAATTTCTAAGTATATCTTATTCATGTGACATGAAAGTACTTACACGTCAGACTGGAACTGTTGGAGAAGGCAATTTTTTATCATTCCTGCGATGTGTAGTTAACAGCTTATCTCAAAGCACTTTTTACTCTGACGAGCTGAACTATTGTATAAATTCATTGTTGGTTCTGTTCAAACTATAACATATTAACTAAAACGTTTATATTGGTTAGGACTATTATCAATAGTGTCTTAAAATGCTTTGTCAAGGTCATAATCCGAAGCAGAAATTGCAGATTGACATAAAAACGCGACACTAAAAACTCCATGGCTGGTATCCCTGCCATAACTGTAAGACATTTCTCCGTCATTCTAACAGGAGCTCCAGTAATCATTCATATATGACAAGGTATGGGTCGTATTCGTTAAAGAATATTCCAAATTTAATTGTCCTCCTCCAGAATGTTGACAAAAATCTGCCGGCATTGGACATAGACTTCGTAGTTTTGTCTCGGTCAAAACACCGAGCGACATGACTTTGGTCCTACAACTTGTTAAAGATATCAAATGGCCATATAAGGTATCCTACTTCTCATTATAAAACTATTTTTACATTTAAAGAACAATTGTTTTTATGTAAATGCTGATGAGACTTTAATAAATTATCTTCCATTATCTTATTGAGAATCAAACAAAAAAAACATTAAAAAGTTAATAACTTTACTTTTAAATTAACTGATTGTAAACTATCTTGGAAAAGAATGTGTAAAAAAGGTTGCATCCACAGGTCCAGATATGTGCATGTAAGTCTTTAAAATACTGTTCACACAATGAAACATAACGTATGCTTCGTAATACGAAAAACGTTTAACGTATTATATCATTTCATGTAGATCAGCTGAAATAACCATAAATCTTAGTCAATTAG